CAATGAACCTATGATGAGGAGAGGGAAACAGGTTTTCATTCCAGCACTTATGTTCAGATGACCGCCCTTGTCAAGGCCTAATGTATCACCAGCCCTAGAAATGGACCAGATCTGCCTGATCTGCTTAAGACCAAAGTCACTACCTGAAGGCTCCTCCCTTGGAGACTACAATCTAGCTCTGTTTCTTCACTTTTTTGTCTCCCTTAGATTTCAGATAAATCCACATTTCTGTATATTTAGCCCTTCTTGCTTCCCAGAGCTGCTGGGGTATGCCTGAAAACCCTGCTCGACACAAACTCTGAGGAAGGAGGATTCAAAACAAATCAGGGCAGTTCACTATTTGCTGTGAAGATGATTTTGCTTCATGAGGGCCTTTCCCACTGATCTCTGAGTCTATCTGGAAAAGTGACTACTAACGCTTTGTAGGTGGAAGTGGTTAGATATCGGAATAAAAATACATAAATTTAAAATAGCAAGAAGAAACTTTTTTTCTTCATAGAACTCATGACCTCCTCTGTTTTGCTTTTTATAAAGTGAAAAGTATTCCATTAGAAGAAGACTCAATGCACCTATAAAAATAGAACTTCCATTAGATTCTGAATAGCTAACATTCCACAGGAAGTATGCACAAGCACCACACTGCCAAAACCAGCATCAAAAGGAGGAACACAAGGAACATTCCTTCTTTAGAAATTCAAGTAGTTATTTTATCTTGGAACTGATTGGCTAAGTGGCTTCCAGTTTTCCCAATGACTACTTCATTGATATCTTTAAGACCACATTTTTCTTAATTGTATTTAAAATGTGCATTCTTCTAGGTCTACTTATTTTTCCTTTTTGTAAATTATCACCACAGCAATTACTCAGTTTTGTGGAATTATATACTTATATATCTGTTTATATTCTTTTTTTAGTCATTGAAAATATATACTTTTAACCTTTGCTTTCCAATTGTCTCTAAAGCTGCATGCTTCACTGGATTGTTTTTAACTAGCTTATTAATCTCATTTACTGGCAGAGCATTTTGATGAAAACTGCTGGTAACTCTCCTCTTAAGCTTTAAATACTAAATAGTAATTGCAAAGAATCTGAGCTCTTCATTCTACAAGCAGAGGTTCAGTTGCCTCATGTTGCATATTTCAAATTACTACAGTTTGTACGCAAACTTTCACTCCCAGATTTCTCTTCACTTGGTTTCAGAGACATCAATAACACAAACAAATCATTGCTACAGGCATGATCCACTGCAGTTGAAAATCTTATTTTGTTTTCATGTGAACTGCTTTCTTTACATGTTCTTCACCAATTATTATGCTGAATTTTTAAAAATGGTGCACGAAAAATACATGATGTTGATTCTTATCATTCCCTTGATTTAGTAAGAAATCTATAAAATTTGCAATGTAGATATAAATAGCTTGATGACTACGGGAAACTGGAGTAATAGAAGGATTCGACCCAACACTGAAGTGCTCCTTGCAGCTGAAGGGGATCAGCACATGCCACTTCAAAAGATGCCACTTTGGCGTAAGGATGACTTTGAGCTACAGGTAATTGAGAATCAACAGATGCAGAAATAATTCTCTGCCCTCCCCTTATTTGTCTAAAAGCAGGGTATAAATTTCCCTTTGAAGAAGGTTATGCACAAAAATATTAATAAAAATTGTGTGCCTTTTCTCCTGTTAATCTGTCTTTTGTGTGTTTAATTCTCATGCTCCCAGATACTGAACCTAAAAGGGTAGAGAAAAAGTTTTTCCTCCCTGACAGAGCTGTGATCAAACCCAATTCTAAATGATATTACTTAAATAATGAGAACTAGCAAAAGTGTTTTTATTCCAGCATTCATCATAGCATGAAGGATACCCCAGTTTATAATGCATCTTGATTTGCATAGCAAAGGAGATCTAACAAATTAAATCCATTGGAAATAATATAGTATCAGGTCTGATTCTTAAAGAAAATAGGTTAGATGCATTTCTCCCACTGAATACGGCAAGAAAAAAAATCCTTGTGTTCCAATTTCTGCCCTGCAGTAAGAGGACACGACCCAGGCATATTGATGGAGGCCGAGTGGGGAACCTGGCCTTCCACTCCTACCTGTCAGTAATAAGATGGCATCTCCTTACTCTAATATCAGAGAAGCCCTGCTAAAAAGAAAGTGTAATTAAATCCAGAGTCCCATAAAATAATACCCCAAATGTCCAGGATATAATCCAAAATCACTTATCAAGAACCAGGAAAATCTCAATTTGAATAAGAAGACAATCACCAGACAGCAACACCAAGCTGACAACGCTGTTGGAATTACCTGGCAAGAATTTTTAATCAGCCATAATAAAAAAATGCTTCAGTGAGCACTTATAAACACACTTGAAACAAACAAAAGAAATAGGAAATCTTGGCAAAGAAATAGAGGATATAAAGAACCAAAGGGAAACTATAAAACTAAAAAATAGCAAAAATAAAATTCAATAGATTAGCTTGACAGCAGAATAAAAAAAAAAAACAACACCAAAGAATCAGACAGATTTGAAGACAGAACAGTATAAACCACCCAGTCCAAATAACAGAAATAAAATAAATTAGGGGGGAAAATCCCCCCAGAGCCTCAGGCACCTACTGGACTGTAACAAAAGATCCAACATTCGTGTCATCAGAGTCCGAAAGGAGAGGAGCAAAAAGGTGAGGCCGAAAAAGTATTCAAAGGAACAGTGTCTAAAAATTTGGCACACGCAAACCTAGACATCCAGGAGGCTAAGTGAATTCGAAATAAGTAAACCCTGAGAAATCCAAGCCAAGACACCTTATAGACAAACTTCTGAACATCAACAACAAAGGAAAAATCTTTAAAGCTGCCAGAGAGAAATAACACCTTAGCTTTAGGGGAAAAGCAATTAGAATGACAGAAGATTTCTCATTAAAAACCAAAAAATCCAGAAGGAAGTGGCACAACGTTGAAAGAAAAGAACTATCAATTTGTAATTCTAAATCTGGCCAAAATATGCTGCAGAAATAAAGGGAAAATTAAGACATTCTCAGAAAACGGAAAACCAAAAACTTATTGCTAACGTGCCTACCCTAAAAGAATGGTTAAAAGAAGTTCAAGAAAGAAAATTATGAAAGAAGGGATCTTGGAACATCGGGAGGGAAGAACAAACAATGGAAAAGGTGAAAACAAGAACTCTGAAAAGACTGAAGAGGAAGCCCTATTAGAACACAGAGAGTGGTACCAAACTATGGCCAGGTGAGCAAGCCACGGATGACTAGCACTGCGGAGAGGAGCTGTGCAGTAGGATTACGCAGGAGCAGAACTCGAGTCTCTACTTCACAGCACACACATGGATCCCCAACATGGCAGACATGCTTGGTGCCTACACAGCAGGCAAAACTCCTCTTTTCTTTCTTTTTTTGTTTTGAGACAGGGTCTCACTCTGTCACTTGGGCTAGACTGTAGTGGCACCATCCTAGTTCACTGCAGTGCAGCCTCCACCTCTTAGGCTCAAGCCATCCTCCTGCCTCAGCCTCCAAGTAGCTGGGACTACAGGCATGTGCCACCATACCCAGCTAGTTTTTTTATTTTTTGTAGAGCCAGAGTCTTGCTATTGCAGGCTGGTCTCAAACTCCCCCGCCCAAGTGATCCTCCTGTCTTGGCCTCCCAAAGTGCTAGAATTGTAGGCATGAGCCACTGCACACTGGTCTTCCCTTTTTCCTTAATAACAAAATCATAATTTAGTTCTTTGCTGGGCATGATATGTTTCAGGGGAGATCAGTTCCCTGACCAGACCGACAGACTACATTACGCCTGTCAATGCCAATTATTGTAATTCCATTTCCTTTAGCAATACCTGGTTTGGACACAGGCTTAAGAAGCAATTTTACATAAGGATTCATTAACAGATAACCTCTGAGGGACTCTTGGGAAAGAGTTTCTACCAGAATAAAAATTCATACAATAGAATTATTATTCCCCCTTTTCTGCCTTTGGAAGTCACTGTGATGTCTGAAAATGAGGCAGTCAACTTCAGACCCTAAGGGGGGACTGAGCATGGAGATAAACCCACATGCTACACAACAGACAGAAAGATGGAAAGAACGTGGTTTCTTAATGATATCACTGAAGGGCTGCATTAAACAAAGCTAGTATTAATCTACCTTTGGACTCATATTATGTGAAATACGTTTTGCTTATTTATCCCAAAACTCTTCGTGATCATCATGTTAAAATGCTAGAGAGTAGTCTGTTATATAAATGTACTGTAATTATGCAACTACTTCTCTATAATTGGATCTGTAAGTTGTTTTTTTCCTTTTCTTTTTTCCCATTATAAAGGATGACACTATGAATATCTTTCAACATAAAAATTTATCTGAATTTAGGATATACTTTCTGTGAATTTTGTTCCTAGAAGTAAAATTACTATGTCAAATGATATGAACATTTTTGAATCTCTTGATAAATAGAAAAATTATCAAATTGATCAAAATGATCAAATTGTTCTTATTAAACTCCTACCAGCCATCTGTGTGTGGCCTGTTTTACTATCTCCCTGCCAAGAATCATTATTTTCCCTTCATTCTTGTTGATAGAACCTGATTAGTTTTGATCAATCTTGGTAATCCCAGTTACTACCTTGAATCTTCTTTTTATACAAGATAATAAATTATACATACTATTAAAAATTCATTGGAAAATTTCGCTTATATCAGACATTGTTGTACCCCAAGGGAAAACTGAGAACTATTTATGACATCACAGTGGACAATGCAAAGGGAACTGTCATAACTGTTTTACTTTTGAAGGTTAATATGAATTTTAAATAAAACATTGATGGGTAGTAAACTCTTTTCAAAAGAATTATAGTTGAACGTTACTTGAAGAACATTTTAAAAATATTACAGTGGCCCTTAATTTAGGATGTACCTTGAGAAAAAATCATGTTTAATTCAAAACGGTTTTCAAATTGATTGAAAAAATAAATGAACACAAAGTGCATACTTACAAATCAAACACCAAGTAATGAAACCCCTCTTCTGATATGCTGTCATGAAGTCGCACTAAAAGAAAAAATAAAAGGAAAAAGAGAAGAAAGTTTGTGTTATAAATGTTATAAATATACCAATGATCAACGTTAAACCAGATTTCTAATGAGCATCTGTCTCCTACCCACAAATGTCAGCATGACACTTTCTTCTGGCCTCTGATAACTCGGTGTCCTTTACAGTATGGCGTGGGTACAAATGACAGACCCGAGGTTTGGGCTCTGGGTCTGATAATTATTTATTATGTGATCATAAAAAAATTGCTTAACTTGTAATGATATCAGTACATATGTTTCATTAAATGGTTGAGATTAAATGAGACAATAAAAGAAAATAAAAGTAAAATAATGCACACATTTTCAGGTAAATACTAAATAAATGTTGATGATCGTTAATAATGTATATCCAAAGTTGCCAGGTTCTAGCAATTCTTCCGCCTCTTTGCTTTGTCCTTGACTATCAAGCTAATGCAAGTCTCACCAACTCATGCTTGATCACCACGACTGGCAGCAAGAGGGACCACTGTGGAGTCTAGTAAGTGGCCTCCCTGACTCTGCTCCCCCTTTTGTCCAACAATTTCTATGTGGCATTCCCTGGCCGACCCGCCAAAACAGTTTTTAGTATGTTATTTCTTTACTCAAGTCACCAAAATTCATTTACCAACTCATTAGTCAAAAATGCACAGCTAGAAATTTTAATAAAATAATCTGCTAGTTCCTCAAATTAGTTACCTTAAATTTTCAAACGAGCTAGACTTTCAGTGGTAATTCTAAACTAAATCACACATGTAAAATTTACATACTGCTTTGTCTGCTATTTATTTTTGCATAAGCCGCTCAGTCAGCTCCTCCCAGTCATCCCCCCAGATGGTAAATTCTTCCTATTTATCCAAATTGATTAAAGCGGTGGCTTGACCTTCACTGGAGGCAACAGAAGGCAGGGACAGCAACAAAGTTTTAGGATGCAACTGCTTTCACAAAAGTCACCACAAGAGGATAATGATTTCTACTACGACCTGCACTTAAGATGTTCCTCATGCAGCCATGACGCCCACATGGAAAACGTGAATTCACAATATTTAGTTCATCACCCAAACTACAACCATCTATCTACAGAGGGAGTCTGCAGTACCCATGAAATTCCCAAGCTTGTAGACTAAATAGAATCTCCATTCTCTGTTATTCCAATTCCATCCCCATTGGATCTTATTTCCCTGACCCACTATTAAAATCTTTTTCAAATCCCTCTCTGGACATTTCCTCAAAGTGGAGAAAGAGAGACTTTTGCTTCACCACTAATTATAGATTATCATCTGTTAAACCTGGATTGTCTACTGTCGTTAACACGAGGGGGAGACTGACCGTGGAGGCAATTGAGCTCAGTCTCAGACCCTCTACTCCATTTAGCTCTCAAGCGCATGAAACGTAAACATACTGCAGTCTCCCCCTCCTTATCTTGTTTTTTTGTCACCCTTCGTTTAGTCGATGCAGCGCATTTTAGCTTTCCTAACTATACTTAATGCCTTTCCTGTCTTCAACATAGACTCTCCTTCTCAATACCACCAAACTGGAATCATCTTTTGTAAGCCTTTGCATCCCACACAGAGATCTGGTACATAGTAGATAGTCTTTCATTAAATCATTTTTGAACAAAAAATACCAGATTTTGGACAGAAATTTTCACCAAAACTCAATATACCTATATATGTCTAAAACGAAACTATTGATGTATGAGCAATTCTCCCATCATTTTCACTGCATGAAGAATATTCTTTAAGTTGCCAATATCAGAGATGCCTGCTACCTTTTTTTAAACTTATGCTGTTGCTGGATGCCAGTGGCTCTGGCCTATAATCCAAACACTTTGGGAGGCCAAAGTGGGAGGATCACTTGAGGCCAGGAGTTTGAGACTAGCCTGGGCAACACAGCAAGACCCAGTCTCTACAAAATACAAAAAAATTAGCCAGCCAGGAATGGTAGCACGTGCCTGTAGCCCTACCTACTTGGGAGGCTGAGATGGGAGGACTGCTTGAGCCCAGGAGTTTGAGGTTACAGTGAGCTATGATCGCATCACTGCACTCCAGCCTGGGTAACAAAGCAAGACCTTGTCTCTAAGAAAAAAATAAATAAATAAATAAACATACACTGCCTAAGAAAATCAAGAGTTTGGTTTGATTATATATCTTCTGCTCATGATCATTCAGCACAGTAAAGGAGGCCAGGTCATGGCTCATAATTCACTGGCTTTCCTGAACAACGCAGTCTCAGAGATACCTCATTGAGCAGCTATAACACAGTCTGTATTTAAATGAGTTTAAATAATGGTATGGCTACTTAGAGAACTCATACAGTTATTCTGGAAAATAAGATGAGTTCCATGCTAGAAAAGTTAAAATGAAAAGTAAAATTCACAATGTGAACAGGATGAAGCCATCACTACTTTCTTCCACTGTCTCTAGGTAAAAGCTTCAAGAGAAAGTGGGATCTCAGGTGTTCAAAGAGTTGCAGAGCTGAACAGAATAGGCTATTTCTTGTACAACTGGAGAAGCAGCACTAATTTCTACTTATACTAGGAATAACATGTTCTTAGCATAATTACCACTATCTTATTAATGCTAATTAATGCTAAATAATCATCATTCAGAAATGAATTAGTTTTTTTTTTTTTTGAGACAGAGTCTCACTGTGTTGCCCGGGCTAGAGTGCCGTGGTGTCAGCCTAGCTCACAGCAACCTCAAACTCCTGGGCTCAAGCAATCCTACTGCCTCAGCCTCCCGAGTAGCTGGGACTATAGACATGTGTTCACTTTTGCAAAATGTTACATTAACTATTCCCCATAAATAACTGTCAATTCATTTTCACACCAAAGGAATTACAAGATGTTCATCCCAGTTGTTAGCCCAAGACTGACTGCACGGCCAGCCTTGAGAGCACTGTGGCTTCTGTATGTTGAAGCATCTTGCACCACCCTCTTGCTCTGACTATTCTGTTAATGCCATAAGCTGCACATATGGGGGCACATAATTAGCCTAATGACCCTTGTCCCTACAACATTTTAAAGAGAAATTTTACAGATGAGACTGAGAAAAGCATTGGAGAAAACAGGTTAAAAAACATCTTGGTAGTCATTCTTTTCTGAAGTTTGCTCAAAGTTAAAATCAAGTCTATGTATAAATGAATTTTTATAAACTGAAACAGTATAACATCTCTTATCCGGAATAAGTTTAAAATTCTATAACTTTAAGTATGAAATTTATAAGGTGGAAAAAAGTGCTTCTGAAGCTAAAATATTTCTAAAGGTTAGTTGACCCACAGCCTAATTCTTTTTCTCTCTCTCCCGTATATATTATCGACTTGGTAGTTTGCATTTGAATTATCACAGGATCACCACTTTCTCTTCCTGTCTATGTTCCTGCCTGATTTCACTGCAGTTTCTAGCTAAGCATTAGCTCCGCAAAGAAGGGGCCAAATAGGATCGTGGTCCTTATACAAACAGAGAAAAGAAATTTTATTTAAATATGATAAAAGTTTCCTGTTTCTTTCAATACTTCATTTCATTTAAGGGGTTAAAAGATACAATAAAATTTACAATTATAGTGCTTACTATGTCAGGAATAATGCAAACAATTTTTGCAAGAATTATTTTATTTAATATATACAAACACCATGAGGATACTTTACCATTGTCTCTTACAAATGAATGCACACAGCTTAGAGACATTCAGGAAACGTCCAGGTGAAAAGCCAGTGATTGGCCAGGCTAGGACCAAAATCCAGAGCTGGATGATTCCAAAGACCTTGTTCCTATTCAGAATGCTAAAATATATTTGTCAACAAACCACTCACCAAACAGCCTGTAGCATATGGATTGGATTTTCAGGGTAAAATAATACTGAGAAGAGAAAAAAAAAGGAAAAAGTAGCTATGGTGACCAGAGAAAGAAAAGCAGTGCCAAGTCAAAAACTATTACCAAAAGAAGAGAAAACCATTCTGAGTGTCAGTTTCAAATGTGATGCTATAATTTTGAGGGTATAGAGACAGCTGGATGATGTCTAAGATACATTTGTCTCTCTCTTCAGTTCCCAAATCCCTAGAAAACTGCTAATTTTCCACTTTAAACTAGGAATATGAGAATTTCCAGTGACTCAACTATTTTACTTGAGGGAACATTCAACGTACCAAAAATCCTAATAAATTGAAGAATCTTGAAAGCTTACATAACATATAAAATATCATAAATTTAAATTATTTTGATTTGTAAAAATTAACATTTGTGAAAAGCGGCCTTACTAATAACTTATGTAACAGAGGAAAATAAACTATCACACAGAAAGTAAGAGAAATAAATTCACAGTACAACTCCCCTTTGTCTGGTTTAATTAAACACCTGTGGCCTAACTCATTATCTCTAAGAGGTTTTCCATAACCTCGAAGAGCCCCAAGTGGACAGTAGGGGCGCAAACTCCCCACTCCCAGTCTCTGCCTCAGTTCCTCCCAGGACCAGATTCCAAGGACCTTTGATGAGCCAGCCTCACAGAGAAAAGAGAAAAATAAAAGACATCAACAACAGCTTCACTGCTTCTGTTATCAGTCTGCTAAAGGAGAGGGCAAAAAAGCATCATTTTTACCCTTTAAAACTCAAGCAACTTTCCCTCAAGTCCCCAGCACTTTCACTCCTTCATTCATGTGCCAAGGCGACTCCCTCCCTTCTCTCTCCCCCCTTCCACTTCTTTCTTAAAAAGGTAAAATAAACTTTCTTCCCTAAAACTATGCTACTCCTGGCGGGAGAAATCTTTCTACTACCCACACGATGAGCTCCTTGTGAGGTCCCCACCCTAATAATTTCCACATCATGCATATTATGATAGCATGGCAAAAAAGGTGTGTGTGTGTGTGTGTGTGCGTGCGTGTGTGTGTGCGTGCGTGTGTGTGTGTGTGTGTGTGTGTGTGTGTGCGTGATGGGAAGAGGAAATGGATGGGCAAGGGAGAAGACAGAAAAGAGTAGGAAAATTAAAC